GTGTGTGCGTGTGTGCGTGTGTGCGTGTGTGCGTGTGTGCGTGTGTGCGTGTGTGCGTGTGTGCGTGTGTGCGTGTGTGCGTGTGTGCGTGTGTGCGTGTGTGCGTGTGTGCGTGTGTGCGTGTGTGCGTGTGTGCGTGTGTGCGTGTGTGCGTGTGTGCGTGTGTGTGTAATAGAGATAAATAATTAGTTAAACTTACTTGTTTCATAAAAAATTTTTTGTACTCCATACAATGTCCATTTCTTTTCATCAGGTTGTTCATGCTTTTTTAATGCCTTGTTATAAGTACTTGTATTTTTGTATGGTGGCCAGAAAACTTCTCTTTTACGAGGCGTCAGCCAAGTACTGCTGACAACGGCCAAGTTTGCGTCGGATTTTTCATCAAACTGAATTACCGTAAACATATTCTATTTTGTACATCTAATAAAGTTAATATACTGATAATGAAATCTCCGCGAACACAAGACTGTTCCATCAAGAATACAATTATACTTGATCACACTGTTGTAAAATATTACTTTTTTTACACGTACATGCAATAAACAAAAGATCTCGTACATGTTTTAGGGCCAATTTCTTCACCGTTGGATAACTCTATCCTTCGGTTAACCTCACTCTTCATCTCTTTCTAAGGAGGCAGGTTAGAAAGAAATGAAGAGTGAGGTTAACCGAAGGATAGAGTTATCTGACGATGAAGAAATTGGCTATTAGTGATGGAAAAGTACAAACGAAATATAACTCACCAAAACTCATACAGTCAGGACTAATTACAAATTATACAGATTGCAATATTGCCTGTATACAATTTACACAGTGTGCGAATTAGTAGCACGAATAACCACCATGTATTGTTCGCACCAGCACGCACTGACCAGCACCGCTCGCGCGAAACAGGAAACAGGAAGAGATTATAGGTTAGGTAGAGAAAGACCGCTCGTCTCTCTTTGTCGGTTCAAATTGTGTTTTGTTTTTTGTTTGCTTGCTTTCGCGCCAATACTGGATAAAACAATTCGAAACAAATAGGCTGCGTTCTGTAATTCTTTAAATGATTAATATTCTTGCCTTTGGTTCTTCCCCAGATTTAAGTGAAATCAATCGTAATAAATAAGATAATCATTGAGCGCTAACTGAGCTCTGCTGCTTTATCATCGTCTCAACGATGAGGCTTTGCGTACAGTGGAGTATATTTGGAACAGGAATATAATTTATTAGGGTATAATAAATATAATTAAATATGATTTATTAGGATATATAAAAAATATTGAATAATTATACCTGCAGATAGTAGGATGACGTCTAAGATGTCTTAATGACGTATTATTGACGTTAAGGACATTTTATCCGGAAAAGAAAAATTTTCCTACAATACGTAGTCAATTAAACGTCTATATAATGTCATTTTACAAAAGTCTTTTTGACGTATTAAAATATGACGTTAAATATACGTCACTTAATCGACGAATGACGTTACTGACCAATTATGACCAAATATTGACGAGTGCTTGCTACCTGGGAAGCTACAAAAAAGGCTACTTTACTCATTGAAATTTTCCGAATATAATAGCGTTTTTCTTTGGCAGAATTGGTGCGCACTCAGTGCACATTAAAGCCGTTGTACACAAATTAACGTAATGTGTATGTTTAATAAACCCGTTTAATAAACGGGTTAAATCATGAAATCCTCAATATTCTTTATTGCACTATTTGGTAAAATATGTACTGGGTATTTTATTAGTCAAAATATTTGCATTTTACTTTAAATATTAGAGATTAAATCAGTGTACAACGGCCTTAATGTGCACTGAGTGCGCACCAGTTCTGCCAATAAAAAACGCTATTAAGTCTCATATTTTAATTATATGTAAATGTAACCTAACAACCAGTGCTATCTTTTAACGTGGAACAACTACGTTGTGTCAGTAAACGCTAAGTACATACATTAAATAAAGTATATAATTATTTCCGTAATACTGTGTATTGAACAAAGCGCATAAAAGAAACGGTTATACGTTGAGAGGCTGAAAAGACCATTAACTCTTTTTATTTCCGAAA